GGTATCTATTAATTATCTTATCGTACAATTCTCTTCACATCTTACTACCGGTATCTATTTATTATCATATCATACAATTCTCTTCATGTCTTACTACTGGTATCTATTTATTATCATATCATACAATTCTCTTCACACCTTACTACCGGTATCTATTTATTATCTTATCATACAATTCTCTTCATGTCTTACTACCGGTATCTATTTATTATCATATCATACAATTCTCTTCATGTCTTACTACTGGTATCTATTTATTATCATATCATACAATTCTCTTCACACCTTACTACCGGTATCTATTTATTATCTTATCGTACAATTCTCTTCACACCTTACTACTGGTATCTATTTATTATCATATCATACAATTCTCTTCACACCTTACTACCGGTATCTATTTATTATCTTATCATACAATTCTCTTTATGTCTTACTAGAGTCATCTCTCCCCAGAGCATTGCCAGCGCAACTCTAACGCGCCGCCGTCTACTCACCGCAGCCCCGTATCGAAGAACTTCTCTGTAATGTAGTCTTTGCAGTTGGAGTTCTCGAACGACAGGTAGAACTTGTAGTCGACGTTCAGCATCTTCACACACTCGCCGTGCTTACGGCGCGCACACTTCTTCGGTCCGCAGCTTCCGTAGATGTCGACCTGGATGTGTTGGCCGAGCTCCGTCGCGTAGCCGAGTCGATTGTTACGGCTGCCGCAGTTCGATACGAACCAGGCGACTTTCTTAGTTTTGTTTGCGGCGAAGTTTCGCCGTAGTGGCAGCGTGAGCACGCGAGCGTCGTACGGCTGGTAGCGTTCGTACGGGGCGACGATGTCCGAGTCGTGCCGGTAGGTGGCCGTCCAGTTGAAGACGCCGGACATCTTGCCGAGCCACTGCGAGTGGTAGGGACACTCGAGCTGGTACCAGATCCACACCTGAGAGGGCGTGCGTCGGAAGGCCGTCATCGCGTGCGCGCTGTAGTGGTTACGGAATAGCACGGCGGCCGGGTCGCCTGCGTCGTGACGCGAGTCGGTGACGCGGCACGTGTCGACGCGACACTTCTGCTCCTGGAAGACGTGCCGACCGGCGGCGACGTTCCAGTATTTCAGACCCGTCTGCACGTAGATCGTCTTCAGGTGCGCATCGCTGGGTTTCGCACGAGGTGCGTAGTTCATCTGTTCCGGGATGCGGTCCGAGTCAGACTGATGCGGCCAGACGAGAAGCTGCGACAGCCTCGACGTGTCGTTCTCGATCGAGATCACGTCGGCGGCGAGCGGGTTCGGCATGTACGACAACACGTGGTTGCCGACGTCGGCGGGCGGGGGCAGCAGGTACGTGAGCGGACGCACGTCGCGTGGCGCCACCGCCGCCGCCGCTAACGCTGCGGTCCGCAGGGTTGCGTCGTCCCACGGTAGCTCGGGGGTTCGCTTACCGTCGCGCCACGCCGACAGCGTGCCGACGTTGATGACGATGACGACGCTGACGACGGCGCAGACGATAACGGCGAGCGCGCGACGCACCGTCAGTCTCATCGTGGCGCCGTGAGAGCGGAGGAGCGGAGGAGCGACGCACGATCGACGAAATCACAGCTCGCTCGCGTCGGCGTCTGGTCGTCGTCGGGCGACGTCGTCGCGTGGATAACCGACGGCCGTACAGCCGACGTGCAGTGCAGCGGCCATTGCCGACGATTTTAGTGTTGATTTCCGCCCGCAGGCTGGCCCAGCTAACAACAAGGCAGTAGCAGCAGCAGCAGTAGCAGCAGCAGTAGCAGCAGCAGTGGCCGTTGTGTGTGGCGGCGGGCAGGGATCTTGCTAATGGATTGATTGCCCGACAGTGCCGCCTCTACCGTACTGAGCAGCTGATCCACCGACGGCCGTCGTCTGGGCACGCACGCGCATGCGCACTCTCTTCTCCCACCTTCTCCCCTCTCTCTGCCTCTCTCTCCCTCTCTCTCTCTGCCTCGCGCGCTCTCTCTCTCTCTCCCTCTCTCTGTGTGTGTGTGCGTGTGTGGCGTGTGCGCCGTGTGCGTGTTGTGCGAGCGCGTAGCGTGCGATGTATTTCTTGCTAGCATCGGATA